TGGTGTTGCGTTTGGGGAATCTTCCGTGTGAGTGTGTGTGTGTGTGCGTGTGTGTTCCTATGTGCTGGCATCAAATTGGGCAGCATTTGGGTATGCCGCCCAAACCTCCTGGTCGGTGTTCTGGTTCACGTTTGATGTATCAAGCGATCAAGGCCACTCGGACAATTTCCAGCAGTCGATTGTGCTTTTTGAAGGGGCTTGTTCCCAGTTTCTTGGTTTTCAACTTATCAGGCTTCCTGTTGCTGGCCTCCGCATCCAGGAAAAGAAATCTGCTTCCTCCCCCCCCCTCGCTTTGTGGAAAGAGCAAGGGACCCTTTATAACGAACATTTATTCCTCCACAAAAGCGAAAAGGCGCCACTGGAAACCTCGGGGGTGTTCACTAAGAAGCCAGTCTCAATCGAAGATTTGCACGTTTTCAAAGCCGACCCTGGAACCATTTCATCCGGTCTTCCACGCAGTGTTCATATGGCCATGGGTCAAAATCCCGTACCGCCAGTGAACATCCCAATCCCCACTAAAATAGACGAACGTGGGTGGTGCACCTACCCCAAAATGGTACCATTGGTTTTGACCCACAGCCATATTGGTTGGCCCAATGCCAGAAGCTTTCCAAAGGCTGTCAATGAGCGCTGCATGCCCCCCCCAAATGGCTGTGTTCAAACTAGCGACGGAGGCAATTGGAAAAGGGGAGCACTTTGGGATCTCCAAATCAGCAGCCCCTGAGATTTTGTTTTGGTCATTTCAGGTACTGGCCATGGATTATGAAATCGATGGTTTCCTTTGGTTTTTCCTTGGCCTTTGAGATATGGGTGGCTTCCTTTGGTTCTCCTCAGCCCCTAAGATGGTCTTCCACCCGTCAGATTCCATGGTCCCTGGCGTGGGGAGGGGTGCTTTTGACCGCGCTGATGAGGTCGCTTGCGCGAAAATGTGTCTAAAGACAAGGAGCCCCTGAAGTTTCCGGGGATCCTTGTTTCGAGATGCAGGGTCCAGAGAGACAGGACACACTGGGAATGTCTCCAGCAGACTCCACCGTGTTCTTGTCGCTGACGTGCGCCATGTGGTCGGAGACTTCCGTTGGCTTCCGTACAACACATAATAGGCCTGATAACTTGAATCGTTGTTACCATGACCATGACAGCTGATTATTAGTCGTGACTGTTGCCCTGCCTGCCTGCCTGCCCTGCCTGCCTGCCTGCCTTCCTGCCTGTCTGCCTGCTTGCTTGTGTGTGTGTGTTCTGTGTTTGTTTGCTTGTTTGTTGATGGCTGGTTGTTTGATTGCTTGCTTGTGTACCCTGTGAGTGCTCTTCAGGTACTGGCCATGGATTATGAAGCCCTTGTGGGGGTTCATTGTGGCGCTCTCAGAGCGCACTTTGTGCGAGCAAGATAAAAGTAGCTGACTCACTCCCTCGATTCATGCACTCCAAACTTTTTGAGAAGACCATACTGGTGGCAACCCAAAGGTTTGGTTTTTTGGGCCAATCCACTCAGGAGGTGAGCCAAGGAGGCGATTGGCTCAGCGACTCTGGCAATGAGCGATCAGAAATTGGGGCAACTCACAGCTGACATTGGGCCGATCTCCTTCAGTACCATCGCTGCCATCCCAAGGCAGACTCGGTCCCAATCTTTGGATCGCCCGCGGCCTAGGGGAGCGCGATTGCAAGTGCGGAGATTGATGGGGGCTGGGGGGGAGGGAGGGCAGGAGGGAGCCCAAATTAAGCCCCTGATAAGGCCGTTTTCAGGGGCTTATTGGGGCTCCGTGCTTTGTGGTGCATCCCTATCTCCAGGCAGTCGCAGCTTTCCCCAGAACGGTCTTCCCCTTTGTCCTTTTGTGAGCTGACGAAGACCCCTTTTTTAGTTCCTCGGTCAAAGTAGAGCCGCCCTTTTTAGACGACCGCTTCGGAACTCCTGGGCCCCTGAAAGTGAGGAATTCCGTTTTGGAGGTATGCCAAAGTTGTGGCAAAGGTGGCACAGGGACAACTGCGGAGACGGGTTGTTTGTTCTTTTGTAAGCAGCTGATTGGGCAGTGGCACCGAGTGATTGCAAACTCTCTTGGAACATTTCTCAGTTATAGAGCTACCCTCACCGCTCCGCTCTCATTGCGAGGATCAAAACGAGTCTCCCACTCCTCTCAGTCGAGAATTTGTGCAGGCAGCCCCTTCAGATAGCTATAAATTTGAGTCTGGAACGCCCGCAGAAGTGGTCAGTGGATAGAAATCCCCCATGTACATCATGTCCACCAAGGAATTCCCAGCTAAGAAACAGCACCGGTTTTATGCTAGCTTCTGTCAACCGTTTGACACTTTCTGAAAGCTGAGGCGCAGGCAAGCTTATCTAGTCCTGGCTGGAGGCATCAGCGTGATTGGCTGGGAGCCTAGCACTGACGGTGTGCTCAAAAAGGCTGACCCCGTTTTGATGCTGTGGGTGGCTCCATCAATTGGGGGTGTGTTTGGATGGTGTTCCGACAGAAAGTCGAACCCTTTTTGCAGGAGTGTGGTTATTTCACGCGCACAAAGGCCGGCCTATGCCCTTTGTCGTCTGGAACAGGTCTCCCAGAACTTACCCTTTCAGCGGCTTTGCCATCTTTGTCGCCAAGTTTGTCCACTATTTTCTTTTTGGCTCCCAGCCATCCCCTTAGCTTTTTAGCTTTCTTAGTGTTTAGTGGGGGTTTCCATTCAGCCCACTAAAAGTTCTCAACTTTTAGAGGGCAGCGAGTTTTGTGGGTTGTTTGGTCCTGTTCTTAAGCGACCCGCAGGAAAGCGATGGAGAGATGCAACTCTACCGCTGCACCCAACACCCAACTGGTTTCGTGAGGATCGCAGCAAAACCTTTCGTTCTGAGGGTGTTTGTACTACACCCTTGGGATTATACCCTTGGAAAATGACCCAGAATCGTTCAAAATAACACGGTTTTATCCGGAAATGTGCCTAAATGGGGTCAGTACCCAGTGGGTGTATTCCCAGGGTGTAGTACAACAACCCTGAGATCGTGGTAGAACTCAAAGTGGGCAAAACGCGATGAACTGTTTGTTGGCTTTGTACCACGCCCCAATCCACAGGCACCCTGTGTTAAAAAGTCAATTAATTTTGTGGCTGATCCAAATGTCCATCATCCACAGCCTTCGCGTTTGTGGCAAAGCAGGGTCCAAGGTAGGCCGGTACAACCACTCCAAATTCGCCAAAGTTTGAGAGCATCTCCAGGCTTTGTCAAAATGATGGGTTGCCTTGTACTTTCCCTTTAAACCAACCCCCAAAATGGGTCGGCCAACAAATGCGAAAAGCCTTCCGGCATTCGGGCCAATGTGGCTGGGGCCCAGTTTGGGTTGCTATGATAAAGCTTGGGCAAACGCCACAAACAATTGTGTTGCTTCTCCAAGTCGCACACATGTGTCCAACTCGAAAGGGTTTGCTCGTACCATATAAGTGCCACAAGTATTAAGTAATGGGGTCCAGAAAGTCATTGGAGGCCCCATCTCCCTTCAGCTCCCCCCTTGTTTCCCCGGGCCATGTTCAGTGTGGCCGCTTTTACAGAGTGTGTACTGCCCACTGTTCCGTGTGGCTCCGGGATGCCATCCCAGAAAGCGTCTTTCTTGCTCGTGTGTTGGCTGGAAGATCCCAACTTGCTTCTTTTCGAGCTTAATAAAAAGAAAAGGCGGGGTCTCCATTTGCGAAGGCCCAAGGTAAGATGAGCCAGAATCAGAAACCAACATCTTCCGCGGATGTGAGGAAAACGACCGCTATCCAGGATGGCTGGGCCTGGCTGGGTGGTGGCCTGTGGAGGTCACCAAAGAGGCCGAGTTGGACAGACGCGACACCTTTTAATTCGGGGGGCGGGGGGGGAGCTATTCTCTTGTTGAGGGTGAACCCTTCTAGGTCCCCCAGTAATGCCCTTTTACCCTTTCTTTGGGGAAGGTTCCCCTACTAAAATAGACTACAGAAATAAAGGGCGCCCTTATTATTTCTAACCACTCTACTGGAGGACCTAGCCTTGTTTGTCAAGCATGTTGCTTACAGAGAAACCGAAAGGAAACACCCGGATCTCCTAATATGGGACTTTTTGGTACATGTGTGCTTCTCCATTCCAATCCCCCAAGCAAAACGTGAAACACTTATTGTGCAGTAGCCACATAGAAATGAGGGTTGAAGGTCAAAAGAGCCCCCCCCAACGCTCCATTTTAGTGGGCGGTTCTATGTTTCGGGTCGAGCTCCAAGTATCTCCACAGAAACCAGGGGACACTGGTTGTCACATGTCCTTTAGGAGAAACAAATGAGTTTGACCATGCCTCAGTTGGTTTGAACACCAAATTGGTTTCCTCAGTTTCGGCCACAAGTATGTCTGTGCTTCTCCTTTTTTGTGCGGGGGGGGGGGAGAAACCTTGAGCAAGGGAAACCAAATGCGATCCAGTCAAACTAGCCGTGGAAAGCCACATTCTCCGTTTTCTGGGTCGATGGCCCTTCCCTTGCTATCAGGAAGCCATTGGATACCGCCTGCAACAAGGTTTGCTTAAACCTGTTTTTTGTTGTTCTGTGGTTTCCCTTTCAATCACTGACGGTCGCAAAGCGGCCGGAGATTTGGCCCATGCGTGCAACTCACGGACCACCGGCTTAGCCTGTTTAAGGCTCAAGCCGTGGCATTTCGCATCCGTGGCCAAGGCCGGGCGAGCAATATGCCATCTGCCAAGAAGCTCACGGATTCGGGGATAGAACGAGCGCACCATGAGAAAGGTGGTTTACTTGGGGAGCCAATTCTTGTTTCAGCTTTGGGAAGTTTAGTAAAATTTGCAGATGCCATGTGACATACCAGGGAAATTGCCCGTCCATGTTAGAGGGGAGGAAAAGGGGAACAGAGCAACGGTCAATCTTCCTGTCGTCATGCATTATATGGGGTCTGACATGGAGCACGCAGACACGCCAAACAATCCCAGGCGGTTGGGAGCTTAAATATTCACCGTGGCTCAATAACTAGTCTACCCTGAGCACGCTGCCAGTGTCAGGCGTCTCGCATGGCTCCAAAGAAGAGGTGGGGATTGCGGAACAGTTCGCCAAAAGCCATGGGGAATAACCTATGGCGATCCCATTTTGGGGTGGATGAACATCCATTTGCCACCTATTTTGATGTTCAGCAGGTGTACAGGGTTTTTACCCACAGCCATTTCTGGGGGCGGGGGTCACAACACGCCATGCAGCATCCGCGAAGGAGGCCGCCGACAGTCACAGGAACCTGAGGCCGATGGTTTTCCTTTGGCGCTCTTAAATCTGATGTGGGGAAGAATGATCCCAAGTGTTTGGGTCCCAAGCATAGGCATAGGCTGGTGGAGAGTCATTTTAGACTTCTGGAGATGGGAGGTTGATCAAAGTCCACTTCCAACTTGCCTTCAGGTGGAAACTTGATTCAAGTACCAGCATCTTCACTTTTGTGAATACGCTTATTTGAATGACAATTGATCTGGTTCTCATTGACCAACTCTAGGTCCCCAGTAGTGCCCTGTTTACCCTTTTTTGGGGGGAGCGTTACTAAAATAGACTACAGAAAAAAGGGTACCCTTATTCTAACCAGTGGAGGACCTAGAACTATCTAAGCGGTCTTTTCCACAGGCAAAACGGGGTCAGAAGACACCAAGGCCAGCGTCAAAGGGCGCCAGCCCGGCCAAGAGGAAGAAGGGGGTCGATGAAGGAGCCACCGGCCTCGCCTACATGACCAGCTCCTTGGCAAGGACACCAAAGCCCAGTCATGCAAGACGAGCGCAAGGCTTCGGACGAAAGGTTTTTGACCTTTTTCTCCAAGCTGTGTTTTGCTAAGGGTACCCGTTTTGGGGTTGGCAAGGGAAACCAAAAGGAAGCTCACTATTCTAGGGGTACCTTCCCCATTCTTTCCAAGGATCCTTCTTTCTAGAAAACCTCCGGAAACCCAGACAAACTGGCAGTTTTTGGAAAGAACGATGGTTGAAAAGAATGGAATCGGACTCAACCCCGAGAACTATAGGCTGCCCCGACACATCCAAAGCTGGAGTCAATTCCAAATTCCAGGCTTCGAGCAGGCGGTTCTGGCAGAGTACGTGTGGTTGGATGCCAAGCAGGTGCCGAGGCGGAGATCTGGTCTGTCGCTTGAAGCTGCTGCCTCACGTCGGATCTGTTTGTAACTTGTTTTGGGGAAATAACCTCACTCCGGCCTGGAGTAATATACGGGAACGTCCACGGAAAACCACCTGCCAGCAACCCACGCACGAAATGGTGCAGGTGCCGTCCACAATAGCGGCTTAAGACAGATATTAACTAATCGAGGGCATTTTCAGGCACGGGTTTTCCAGGAATGGAGGTGATATACCACGTATGTAAGGAGTAGTTCCTGTTTTACAAGGCTGACATGGGTGAACAAGTTAGAATCCATACCTCCAAAAAAAACTCCTGAACATGCCCATGAATGGCGTTGAATTCGCATTGCCAGGTCCAAAACCATGACCATGACCACGCTACCTACGTCCGTGGAAGGTGCCCAAGTCAGTCGAGAGTGGAACGCTTTCCCCGAAGGCCTGCAACATGCCTCCTGTGGGTGTGTGTGTGTGTGTTTTGAGGTCATTTGCTTAAGATGTTTGTGTTGTTTTCCCTTGTTGGTTTTAAAGGGAATCTATCGCTACTGGAAATATGTTTTGTTTTCTCCCAGGAGGCTTCAGCAAATGAGGCTTTTAGGGCTTGGTTTGGAGGGAATCCAACAAGGAACCCGATCAAACCTTATGTCCCCCATGTTTTTGACGCATCAAAGACATCCAATGCGTACAAGAAGAACCAGGGGTTGGAGTTCTTGAACGTGCAGATCCAAATCGAATACCTCAAGGATTGTCCCACCAAGGGATTGTTATACTGGGAACAAGCGATGCCCGTCCATGACAATGCCAAGCTTCCTGTTTCGCAAAATGTAGCTGAACCCCGGATGTCCAACCTGACCTGTTCTAGATCCCGAAGCACCAACGCAAATCTGATTTGGGCACATTTGGGGTACTGGAAACAGGCAGCAGCTTGAACCTGGCATGAATCAAGAAGCCAGGAACATTCCCAACATGCGTCCATTGCTTTGGTTGTCTCTTCCCAAACCGCACGGTTCTTGCTGAGTTGCGGGACACTTCCAGAATCAAGACAGAACCGCTAGAGGCTTGGCGGACAGCTGAGCAGTGGGTTTCATTTGAAACTTGTATTGGCTGGTAATTGTCAAGGAAAACTGGGCGCTTTAATAGAGGTGGGTTTATTAATCCAGGGTTTAATGCTTCTTGGACCCTTGGCTATGCCCCATGCAGGCTTGGCTTTACAAAACTCGGGACTCCTGGTAGACCTTGTGTTGTCACTGTTGAGCGATTCGGCCTTTTGGTCTTTCAGCTTTTTGGCTTTCCTTCTAAGGAGAAACTTTCTGGGGCCCAATAAACCGCCAAGGTACTTAGAACCCTCTTGTCAGAACCCCTTCTGATAAGGCTCTAGTACCCGCGTCTACGGCTTTCTTAGGGTTTCTCCGAGCCAAAAACAAGTCGACCAAACCTCGGGTTGAAAGAAGTTTGGTTTTCCTTCACAAGAACCAGATTTAGAGCTGCAAAGCGACTGCCCTCGACCTTCGACCTGGGTCCTCAACTTGGCTGGTCTTGGTCTTGGCTAAATGGTTAGTAACCCTGGTCATAAAAAGCTTACAACCATTGTAAGTGGGTTACAACCAGAGTTATTACCCACTTAAGAAGGGACCAAAGCATCGTTACATCGCACGTACCGCGCGAGAAAACCCGAGGCCTCCGTGTGTGGAACTATGACGGCAGCAGCACGGAGCAGGCGGAGGGCCACAACTCGGCAGCTCAGCGCGACAAAGGAACGCGGGCTCGGCTTTTTGTTCTTGGGATTCCTCTTCTTCCATTTGCTGGGAATCTATCGCTACTGGATTTATTATTATTTTTTTATTTATTTTACCAGGGGCTTAAGCAAATGGAGGTCTTGGTTTCCATTCAAATCCGACCAAGCAGGGTCCACCACGTTGATGGTAACACCAAAATGGATGGTTTCCTCTTGGTGTCCAATGTTTTCCTTCAAGTCCAACCAAATATACCGCCATGTTTGGAAACCCCCACTTGCATGTTCAACCTAAGGCCAGAGCTTCCTTCGGGCCTTCTACGGCTTGCCATCTTTTGGCCTACCGCTCGTGTGGCTTGCGAGTTGCTCAGGAAATCTACCTGTACCCCAAGGCCATATTCAAGGACTGGGCACGGCGGGGGTGGTCTACGGCAAGGGCCTCCCCTTCAGAACTCGGAGTTGTGGCTCTGCACAGCCCACTCCGCAGTGACTCAGCCGGTTGCGCCTTCCCCCATTCGGTGACACCAGAAATTTGACGTCATTTTAATTGTGAAGACTCACTCAATAGACTGGAATCCAAGAGCCGGTCGTTTTGTTGGGCAAAAGTATGGTTAGTTGGGGATGCTGACTCAGCTGTATTGTTGTGGGTGTGGGTGGTAGGTACCTTTAGGCAGAACCTGAGGTTGAATTTTGAGGAACCCTGTAAAGGTGGGTACCTTGAGGCAGAACGGGGTCCGTATATTACAGCATCACCCCGCCCAAAGGGAAGCTTATCTCCAGACTGCCGCAAAAAGTGATGTTTCACCCACCCAAACAGGGAAGCTGTGAGGACTGGCAGAGCTCGCTTCATCGCCACGTCCAACAGGTGCTTGTTCCACGAAGGGTTGTGCACTTAGGCGGTCGCAAACGGACTCCAGACGTTGAGTCTCCATGTCCATCTGTTCTGTTCAAGCACCTTTGCCAGGTCCCTGCTTTGTTGGTGACGCTGATGGGGAGTGGCTCATGCTTCGTGTGAGGCCGTCTCTCACAAGCAAGTTGAGATAGACCTCCAGTGGCTTGCTTCCGTGAATAGCAGGATGATAAAAGCCTGGGGGTTGTTTTTGGCCTTTACTGTCCAACCAACAAAACCCACGGCCAACCCACCTCTTCCGAGAAATTGGGTAGGGCAACTTTCTGTGCCATGCAAATCTGATTCCTTGAGAATGGTTTAGGAGTGGGAATCGGAATCTTGGTTTGTGGGAGGATGCATCGTTGTTGTTGGGAAACATTTTACATTTTTGCTTATTGTGGTTTAGTGGGAAATCCCCACTTGAGTGCTTTTTGTTTTTTTTGCTGCCCTTCCAACATCAACCAAGGATGTGGGGAGTTGATATGAAGGGGCCCTTTTTGGAATCCCCTCAAAGGCGACTGCAGCTTCTTCGGTCGACAAAGGAACTTTACCACGCTTTGGGAGGATCATTTTCATGGTAAATAAGAAGTTTGGACCTTTTTGTTGGCCATCCACTCGGGAGGTGAGATAATTACTGCGGATGGAAATGCGAAATCCAGAAATCGCAGCACGAACGTACACCATGGTTGAATCCATTGCTTAGTATCCTTAGGGAATCGAATCAGAACCCAGGGCTTTCTGAACGGTGCTGCCTAAGAACTGAGGATTTTGCGGTCGCATTTCCATCCACAGGTTTGCAAGATGGCAGGGGCGTCCACCATGGCAGTCGTTCAGCTCAGAACTGGAGTTCGGATTTCGCAATCCAGAGTCTGAGGACTCCCCGACGTTTATGCCAACAAACGGCATGGTTTCAACTTCAGGGTTTACGTTCGTGGTGCGAAAACAAGAAAATAATTTTGCATGTCCGCCCAGATTCTCGGAGTCTCGCCTCGCCAGGACCCCTTCCGCGGCAGTCCCCACATCTTGGTCCTGGCGGAAGCCTACAACGCCTGGGATGGCCAACCGGCCATCGGGAACACCAGGGCGGAGTGCGAGAAGATCATGGACAAGCGCCCCACCCCACCCCGGTGAAGAGAAGCCGCCGGCCGGAGGGTGCTTCTTTTTGTGTTGTGTTGTTTTTTGTTGACATATTATTCCAAAAAAGCAACAACAACATGAAAGGGTGCGGGAGGGTATTGTGTTGTTTTTTTCCTTTGAACGGGCTACAAAACCTGGGCAAAACCAGAAGGGCGTTTTGAAGGAGAACAGATTGGGGCGGCCTTAAACAGGTCTTCTTATCTTAAATGTGTGTTTCCCCAATTTCTGTGATACCAAGGAAATCCAGTTCGTGGATCTGCAATTGTCCACAACCATGGTCCGACCGGCGGCGCGCGTGTGTGCTTGAGGATACCCTTGGGGTGTTGAAAGAAAGCCAGTATTTTGGTGGGCCCACCCATTTTTGCACACACCCCACTGGTCAAGCAATAAATTCACGAGCGATTCCTTGAATTCGGGTAAAACGCACGAAAACCCAGGATGAAGGTCCTTAAACAACGGGACTTAGAGGGATTTGCCCAGAAAACACCACGACATGTTTCCAAAGCAAAATACATCTCCAATGGAACAGCTTTCCCCGCCGGAAATTGGGTAGTTTCCTTGCCCTTTAGTTTCACTCAGACTGTTTCATAGGTGTAGCCCCGAACAGGGCACAGTGACTGCATCCATTGGTGCCTATGCCCCCTCCTATCTTTGAGAATCAGCTACCAAGAAAGCGGTGCCCCCCTACTTCCAGGTGCTACTGGAGGTCTGGGAAAAGGGTTGAAGCAGACAAGGAAGAAACAAAACAAACGGCCAGTGTAATTGTCTGCAATTGGGGGTGGTAGTGTGTGTTTTGATTTGGCGTCCCTTCAAACCAACCTTAAAAAGGTACGTGTTTCTCAAACATCATGAATCAGTTGAACATGGCTGTTTCCGATTTGCTTCTACAAGGCTCTAAGGCCAGTAACCCTCTCCCCCTTGTTTCGGGTTTTCAGAGGAAACTAAAAGGAAAAGCACATTTGTTGGGGGGTCCCTTAAAGGAAGACACGCCCAAAGGTTGTTTTCAGTGTACCCTGCGAAAAGTTGCCAGGTACGAGTACCTGGACCCTTGGTTTGGCATTGAGCAGGAGTACACTCTCATGAGGCGGGTTGGAAATTCACCGCGGGGAATTTTTGCGGCCATCCTCTCCTTCCAACTCTCATGGGCTTGTCTCAAATTGGAGGACTCCGACCATTCTGTTTGGGTTTGTTTTGGTTGAAAGCAAACAATCCACGAGTGGCGTCCCTCAAGAAGACACGCTCACATAGACCCGCAAGGCATCCGCTTTTGGGGGTCTTCGGATGCTGATCCAAGCGAGTTTCTACCCCAAGTATTGGGTATTGGCCTCCATGGAAGTAGAAGGGTTGGGACCTTCTTGGACGTCACAAGATGCTTAAGGCGCTAAGATGATATGCTTCAGTATTTTCCTGATTGAGCCAGAGTCAAGTAGTCAAGTTGAGGCGTCCAGCCAGGCCCGGGAAGGTGGGCGAAGATCCGAAGATTCCGCTGGGCTTCAACGACGATGGATCTGAACCTGCACCACAGGGGCCTTACTACACCGGGGCAGGCAGGACCTTCGGAGACGAAACTGCAGACAAAAACTTTTCAGCGGAATCGCCGCGGGCCAAACACACAGCGCGTTTAGCGGAATCTTCCAATTTGTTGGTTGCTACAGGAGCCAAAGACTCTGGAAGAGCAGCACGTGTTGCTCCCTCTGGTTTTCGCGCCGCGAACTGTGTGCGCTGACCGGACGGCCCTCACTTGTCCAAATGTGTGAGTATGTTTGAGTTGTAAATATGCTTGTTAGGCATTCGGTGCATTCATATACATCTTCGGGTATACATTTCAGCACGCGTGTGTCCACATACTGATGTATATTCTGTGTATATACAAATGTGTGAGTGTACCGTGGTCAAATTGCTTACTTCGGGTTGGTAGGTCATGGACTCTTTCTGGGGAAACTAGAAAACCATGACAATGGTTCCTATTAAGGAAACCATGGCCATGTCCGACGCAAGGAGATTGGATCATGGCTCATATGTCTGCAGCACGTATGTATATATGTGTGTGTGCCCGTGTTTTGTACATATGTCATTTGTGCGTCTAGTATGCTTATGCACGCACGCGCATTCAAAAACACACATGCACGCAAGCGCGGGCGCGGGCGCATGCGTACACTTACTCACACGATGCATGCATATTGTGTGACTGATTGATTTATACACATGTCAATGTACCCGTTGGCAATAAATATGTTGCCGTGTCATTTGCGCACGCATGTGTGCGCGCATCGAGAGAGAGAGAGAGAGAGCGAGAGAGAGTGAGTGAGTGAGTGAGTGAGTGAGTGAGTGAGTGAGTGAGTGAGTGAGTGAGTGAGTGAGTGAGTGAGTGAGTGAGGGAGGGAGGGAGTGAGTGAGTGAGTGAGTGAGTGAGTGAGTGAGGGAGCGAGTGAGTGAGTGAGTGAGGGAGGGAGGGAGGGAGGGAGGGAGTGAATGAGTGAGAAAAGAGAGAGCCACAGGGACACACCCACAAGCAAAAGAAGACAACACTTGCATGTGGTTGCACATGTGAATCATCAGCATGCCCTTGCCATCACAGATTACTCTGCGGCCGCAAGGCTCAAGTCGTTCAAGCCGTTCGCCGGTCGCGGGAATGAGTTGAGGGTGCACCTCATTCCCTCGATTCGCGCTTCGCTTCAGATGCCGCAGTCCAGACGCATGGCGAGTGGAATTTGGCAGAACCTCCAACTTCGAGCTCCTGCGCGGTCCTTCGCTTGGCAAGAAGCGCTGGCTTTGCTGACCGCATGGAGAAACAAGTCCGTGCCTGGAGGCGGTGTTGGGCGATACACTTGTTTAAAACATGCTTTAAGCCACTATCGTTCTAACCAAATCCTTCTGGTTTTTCCATTTTATCCACCCCAACCCATGGTGTAAACCGTTTCTTATACCACCAGTGGTTTTTGTTCAGTCTCCTTTTGCCTGCCCGCTAAAAAGCCACCATTGTGTCTTCAGCAACCCGGTCGGCAAGGAAACCTGTTCAACCAACCCAGGTCCGGATGTGATCAGCTACACCACCGTGATCCGGGCCTGCGAGCGGGCCACTGCGTGGCGAAAAAGTGTGCAGCTGTTGGATGAGACTCAGTTGCATTGGTTCCGCACAGATTGAGTTTGCCCCCGATGTAAGTCTACCTTGGGTTGGTTCAGCCTTGGCCTACGGCCCCAAATTCGCTCCAGCAGGCGTGCTCGCTTTGTTTCGCGCCCGTCCAACTGCCAGTTCCAAACCACGCGCGCCCGCTCAGCATTTCGCACGCCCCTGCCAAATGGCAAGCACACACACACATACCCGTATCAAGCGCGCCGCTCAGCAATGCAAGCAGCACCTGCTTGAGCTCTCCCGCTCAGCACTCCATACGCACTGCCAGGTGGGAAGCACACTCGCTCAAGCGCGCCCGCTCAGCAATGCGCACACACACACACACACCTGCCAAATGATTCAAATGGTAAGCGCTCAAGTGCGCCCGCTCAGCGCTGAACACATCGCCTACCATATTCTAAACAGCGGGCAGAAAGCGCTGATTGAACTTGCATGTCGCCTGGGGCGAAATCCCAATCCAGTGAGCGTTTCGCCTAGGCAACATGCAAGTCGTTTTTGGCGAAAGTGCACGCTGCTGAGCGCAGTTTCCGTGCCGGCGGGATAGTTCTTTAGTTAGTGCAACATTTGCAGATTGGTTGGCCCATTTAGGCTTGAGTTGCTTGATCTTTGCTTTAGCCGGATCATTGAATGTTCTGTTTCAACAAGTTTGCACGGCTGCGCTCAGTTGTTTTGCGGCTAGGGGGTTGGGCCAAGGATATGGTTGTGGCAACTGTGCAGCCCAACATGATCACCTACAGCAATCTGGTTGGACCTGCCCTGTCTCAAGCAGGCTGGGCAGGTTACTTGCTGCTCTTGGAAGAGATGCAGCGCCAGCGCCTTCTTTTCGACACTCAATTCCTCACTGCGAGCATGGTCGCACTCACTCGCAATGGCGCATGGCAATACGCTTTGCTTCTTTATCGACTAGAGCTTTGGCCGAAGTGAATGGACCTTTCGCGCGTCCAGTTGTTCAATGGTCCACGTTTGATCATGGCACCCAAACAAAGGTGAAGCCTGTCAGACACCCACTATCACCCACTGGTGCCGCCTCTTTCCTTTTTGTCCAGCATGCGCTCCTCAAAGTAAAGTGCCAAACACAGTTTCCCCTTTTTCCCGCGGTTGTCCATTGGGCTTTTGAGTCCTGTATTTTCGTTGGCCATGTCAGGATGTGACAAACGGACCCGACGTTCGACCTGATGAGTTCACGTTTAGTGCTGCAATCTCTGCCTGCGCGCATGGTGCCCAATGGCAACTTGGTTCTGGTAGACAACTTGCACGCACACGCACACGCACACGCACACGCACACGCACACGCACACGCACACGCGCACGCGCACGCGCACACACACACACACTTGCCTTTGCGATAGCGCACAGTGTCTGTTCGACGCAGCGATTTATTTTTGGGAGGGGGAAAGAAGGAGAAGGCCCCAAAAACAACACAAGTCAGTGTGTCTGTACATGCACCCAACAAAAGAAATGGGTGTGGGTCAAAATTAAACCACGAGGAGACCGCAGATTTTAGTCCATGGATATTTTGGGTACCTATTTTTTGACCCACAGCCAAATCGAGAGCAGATTTGCATGTTGCTTTGCGAGAGGCGAAGCAATCACACAAGGTGACCACCCAGCCGAAAAGCCGTCGACACGTAAGACCAGGTTCCCTTGTGTAATTTCCACCGAACAACCGATCGAATCAAATCCTCGGTCCCATTTTCCCGGGGGAGGGGGGTTGGATCAGCGGGCCAACGAAAGACGTCTCGGTTTCCCAAGTTTTGTGAAGACCACTTCGGACCCGTTGAAAACTGAGACGCATGCTTTGTTTTGGAACCGTTTGGTTGTGTGGCACTTGTTGGATCCTCTCAGAAGGATGGCCCCAGACAAGGGGCATAGCCTGCAATACCCGTTGCTGATAGCGCTGGTCCGCCCTGCTCCAATGTGGGCGGGCTGATGGATCGCTCGAGACATTGGGGTGCGATGAGTGGCTGTTCCTCTCTAAGGGGGAAAGGTTGCCGGTTGCAGCTGTCATTCGCCAGAACTACTTGCCCCTTTCCAAAAATATTGCCTTAAACATACCCCTTATGCAGCGCTTGTATAGGTTGGCGCGTGATATATGGCGCTGCTAGCCCAAAAAACACATTTGTTTACCATGCTGGTTTGCCCCTTTCCCAATCCCAATAGTTCCAACTCCGAAAAAAGAAGAAAACGGAAAAACAAAACCGCGCCCATCTGCGCCACCCATATCTCGTCTCCCCCCTAGTCAGCACCCGAGGCAACTGGCCCTCTCGCTGCTGCCCGCGGGCGGCGAAAACGGCGCCGCACTGTCGGCCGCCGGCAGCGCCTGCGCCGCCGCAGCCGCGTGGCAGGCCGGGCTGCAGCTGGCCCAGAGGCGCCAGGGGCTGCGGTCGGCTCCGGAGAGCTGAGGGAGGTTGAGCCCGGAGTCAAGCAACCAACCTGCTTTGGATATTGACAGAGGTCCTTTTTTGGCCAAGGTGGCAAAAGGGTTCAGTATTGGATAGATCCCGTCGAAAACTCCGTGTCTACCCTTCTAGGCAGCTAGGTGCCCTTTCTCACCCCTTTCTTGGTAGGGAGGGTTCCCGTACTAAAATAGACTACAGCGGAAAGTTGGTACCCTTATTCTAACCTGTCTACTGGAGGACCTAGTCAACCAACCTGTTTGGTAATCGAGGTCCCGGCGTCCCTAGATTTTTAGTGGGGGTTCATCACTTTTGGAGGGGAACATGTCCGTATTCACAAACTGGAGGCGATTAATCTGGGGTCAACATTACTGAGTAGCCCACGGTTCATTCTAAGCAAGCCAAGGGAGATGGAGGAAGTGTTTAGTTTTGCCAGACGGGTTGAGTAGTTACGGACACTCATGCTTGATTTGGTCTAAAAGTTGCCCCAATCCCCATTTGAACAATGTTGCTCTTCATTAGATCCACTGCTAGAAAATGGCAAACGTCTAGGGGTAACTTCCCCATTCATTCCAGGGATCCTTCTTTCTAGAAAACCACCAAAACCCTGGTTGAAAATGGCTGGTTTTTGAAAAGAACGATAGCTGAAAAGAATGGAAAAGGAATCACCCCCTAGAAAACGTGTCAAACCCACTTTAGCTGTTGACTTGACAAAGTGCAGATACAATATACATCCATTTCTGGCCAGTGAGCTGATCAGGCTTTACCGGGACCTCTCAAATGGCATCATCTTGCATGTTGTTGTTCTTTTTTCAAAACATGGACCCCAATCTAAAAGTGTCATTTCTAGTTGGGGGCAAAAACTGGGGTTTAAAACATACCCCTGGCTTCAAACCTCTTGAGATGAGAACTGTTTTTTTGATTTCACCTTCTGGGTTCTAGGAGATCGGTTTTTTGAAAGGGCGACAAAACCTGGGCAAAACCAGAAGGGCTGCTGGAGGGCGTTGCATGTTTTGTG